TTTGGGGCACATGAGCGAAAAAGGCTTGGGCATACTGAGCAAAAGAGGACTTCTGTGTGGACAAAGTACCGGTCCATTGGAATTCTGTGAACATTGTATTTTTGGGAAGCAGAAAAGAGTCAGCTTCAGTTCACCAGCAATTCACAAGACAAAAGGTACTCTTGATTACATTCATTCAGATCTATGGGGTCCTTCTCGTGCTCCTTCTAAAGGTGGTGCCAGGTACATGTTGACTTTCATTGATGATTATTCAAGGAAAGTTTGGGTCTATTTTCTTAAGCACAAAAATGATGTTTTCCTAACTTTCAAGCAATGGAAAGTTTTGATTGAGAAACAAACAGGAAAACATGTTAAGCGGTTGAGAACAGATAATGGCATGGAATTTTGTGGAGGTGAATTTAATGAATTTTGCAAAAATGAAGGAATTGTTCGGCATCACACCGTCAGGATGACGCCTCAACAAAATGGTGTGGCCGAACGTATGAACAGAACTCTTTTGGAGAGAGCAAGATGTATGATCTCCAATGCAGAGTTGACAAACGACTTTTGGGCAGAGGCGATCAATATGGCCTGTTATATTGTCAACCGTTCTCCTTCTGCATCTCTTGATTTCAAAACTCCTGAGGAAGTTTGGTCAGGTACTCCTGCTGATTACTCCAATTTAAAAGTTTTTGGGTGTCCAGCATACATGCACGTGAATGATGGAAAATTGGAGCCTAGGGCTAAAAAGTACATTTTTCTTGGGTATGCTTCTGGGGTGAAAGGATACAGATTATGGTGTTCTGATCCCAAATCTCCAAAATTTGTAATCAGTAGAGATGTTACTTTTGATGAATTGTTTATGTTATCTTCCAAGAAGGAGTCTTCTAGTCCTTGTACTACTGATAGTACACAGAAGCAGGTGGAGCTTGATATTGGCAGTTCTGGTCCTTCTCAGTCCAAATCTTCTATTCAACAAATGCCAGTAGATACACCTGAATCTACTGTTGAAGATAGTTTAGAAGAAGAGGAGTATTCCATAGCCAGAGATAGAGCAAGGAGAGATATTCGACCACCACAAAGATATGCAAATTTAGTTGCATATGCTTTGTCTGTTGCAGAAGAAACTGATGCAGTTGGTGAACCTTCCACCTATTCAGAAGCAGTTTCTTGTGATGATTCTGCAAAGTGGTTGATTGCGATGAATGAAGAAATTGAATCTCTTCATCAGAATGAAACTTGGGTTCTTGTAAAGCCGCCGTCAGCTAAGAAAATTGTTGGTTGCAAGTGGGTCTTCAAGAAAAAGGAAGGTATTCCAGGGGTTGAAGATGCAAGATATAAAGCACGATTGGTTGCAAAGGGCTATAGTCAGGTACAAGGTGTTGATTTTAATGATATATTCTCACATGTTGTTAAATATAGCTCTATTCGTGTTTTGCTTGCTTTAGTTGCCATGTATAATTTGGAGTTAGAACAGCTCGACGTTAAGACAGCTTTCTTACATGGCGAACTTGAAGAACAAATTTATAAGAGACAACCCCAGGGTTTTGAAATTGAAGGTAAGGAAGACCATGTTTGCTTATTAAAGAAATCCTTATATGGATTGAAGCAGTCTCCAAGACAATGGTATAAGAGGTTTGATTCCTTTATGTTGGGTCATGGTTATTTGAGGAGCATGTATGATAGTTGTGTTTACTTCCGGAAGTTAAATGATGGTTCTTTCATTTATTTGCTGCTTTATGTTGATGACATGCTCATTGCTGCCAAGAATTTGTCAGAAATTCACACATTGAAACTGCAGTTAAATAGTGAATTTGAAATGAAAGATTTAGGAGCAGCTAAGAAAATTTTTGGCATGGATATCAATCGAGATCGAGGAGTAGGGAAGTTGTTCTTGACCCAGAAAAATTACCTTGAAAAGGTCTTGGAGCGTTTTGGCATGAAAGATGCTAAACCCGTATCTACTCCTCTTGCTAGCCATTTTAGGCTATCTGCTGCTCAATCACCAAAATCAGATGAAGAGGAAGATTATATGGCACGGGTTCCTTATTCCAGTGCAGTCGGCAGTATTATGTATGCAATGGTTTGTACTCGTCCAGATATTGCACAAGCAGTCAGTGTTGTTAGCAGATATATGTCTTGCCCTGGTCAAACACATTGGCAGGCTGTGAAGTGGATTCTCAGATACTTGCGAGGTACTTCAAATGCATGTTTGGAGTTTGGAAGAAATAATAATACTTTGGTTGGTTTTGTAGACTCAGACTACGCTGGAGATCTTGACAGGAGAAGATCACTTTCGGGTTATGTATTTTGCATTGACGGATGTGCTGTTAGTTGGAAAGCTACTCTACAACCTGTCGTAGCTTTGTCTACTACTGAAGCAGAATATATGGCTGTGACCGAGGCAATCAAAGAAGCCTTGTGGTTGAAGAGTTTATTTAGCGAGCTAAGTCTATATCAAGGTGTTACTGATATTCACTGTGATAGTCAAAGTGCCATACACTTGACTAAAGATCAGATGTATCATGAGAGGACGAAACACATTGATGTGAAGTATCACTTCATTCGGGATATCATTGCTGAGGGAAAAGTCCTTATTCAGAAAATCAATACCAAGGACAATCCAGCCGATATGTTTACGAAGCCTCTTCCAAATTACAAGTTCAAGCAGTGCTTGGACTTGGTTGGTGTTCGTTATTTGTGATTTAGACCCATTGGGTCTTATGTGGAGAAGGTGGAGCGATTTTACTATTGACGATGGTGGGACTCAAAATTATGTCAAGGTGGAGATTTGTTGAGCCGCAATTGTTGACGCCCACAATGGTTGAATTGGTGGCAAAATTTTGCATCCCACATCGACAAAGGCTTGAGGAATGCCTTCTTTGGATTCCTATAAATAAGGAAGCCTTCTGAAGGTTTTAACTCGCACCACTCAAGAGAGTTATATGGGCTATTAGCTTCTTGAGTCATCTAGCCCATTTAGTCAAATATTTTAGGCTCTTTTGTTTTGAGTTTAGGAATATTTTCTAAACTCTTTTGTAAGTGCCTATTGGCCTAGGAACCACTTTCCTACGGCTTTTGTATTTCTTTTTCATAGTAGAAATATTGCTCCTCTCTCGCCCGTGGACGTAGGTCAATTTGACCGAACCACGTAAATCTTTTGTGTCTTTTATTTGCTTTGTTATCCGTCTTTATATGGTCGGTTTTACCGCCTAATTATTATATGGTTGGTATCTACCGCCTATCTATTAAATGGTCGGTTATACCGCCTAATTTGTGCTAACTTGAGTTTGTCTATTTCCTGGCCCGGTCCTAACACCTTGGCCCAATACACTCATGCAGTGTTTCGCATCCAATGAACCATTGCTACAGCAGTAGATAGACTTCTGGCCAGGTTTATTTGGGTGGGAGATGTTGATGGCCGTGGTATCCATTGGAAATCTTGGTCTATCTTAACTCTATCAAAATTTCAAGGAAGATTGGGGATGCGGTCCATAGAAGAGATGAACAGAGTATTGCTTGCTAAAGCGGCTTGGCGTTTAATTTCTCAACCTGATACTTTATTTAGCAAATTCTTCATGGCTAAATACTGTACGCGCAGTACCTTTCCCAATGTCCGTTGCACCAACCAAGCCACTTGGGGGTGGCGAAGTATTTTATAGGGTAGAGACCTTCTCAGAAACGGGCTGAAATAGAGAGTGGCGAAAGGAACAAAAATTAAAATCCAGGACAACTAGATTCCTGATTGCCCGAATCCTCTAGTAGGTAGTCATACTTTAACTCAATTCCTGGACATGCGAGTACTGAATTTAGTTGATGATAAAGGTCAGTGGAGAGAATCTCTGGTTAGACTATTTTTTCCTCCCAGGGAAGCATATCAGATTCTTGCAATTTATATTCACAGTATGGAGGAGAGGATCAGTTGATTTGGGAGTTACAACCAAATGGGTTTTATTCTGTTAAAACAGGATACCATTTGGCCTCTCGCATTAGAAGAGGACAAATGCCATCTACTTTTTTCTAGTCTACAAACTCTTCAGTCTCAATAGATGTTTGAAAACGTTTATGGAGGTTGAAGATTCCATCAAGAATACAGTTTTTTGTTTGGCAACTATTGCGTGATGCATGTCCTACAAATTTGGCTCTTTTTAAAAGGAATTGCCATCCTTCCCCTATCTATCTTCGATGTGGTAAGCAAAATGAATCGGCTACACATTTGTTTCTGAAGTGTCAATTATTAGTTAGAATTTGGAGAGCTTCCCGACTAGGTTTTGATTTTGAAGTTGGTACACCAGTTTCCTTGGCTGTATGGTTGCAAGGATGGATCAAAGATGCCCCTGATGACAGTGACATTATATTGTCTATCTATATTATGTGGAATATATGGCTAGCATGAAATAAATTTGTGTGGGAGGGCAGAGAATTTAACTTGGAAAAATTACTGAATGCAATTGATGCAATGTATCAAGTAAAGCTACCGGGCAAGAGGAAAACAGCTAATCAATGTTCTCTAGAACCACATCAAAGAAGCAAGTCATTACTCGGGGGGTAATCTTCAGCTATCATTCCATGAAGACGATGCAATTTATCAACCTACCCAAGTGAAAGCCTTTATAGATGGCTCCTTCGCTCAATATCCTGAAAACATGCAAAGACCTCAAACTGCTGCAATAGCATGGATTTTCAAGTGAGATATGCAGCAGTTTGATACCTTTGCAAACTGAGGCGTTGAGGTCTTTGCAGTATTAATTTTTAATACATACATAGAAAATTCACATTCACATAAATAAGATATGCAAGTGAGATATTATTTGGCAGTGGATGATTACAAGGAAAGAGGTAGAAGAAGATATAGCAATGGGCACTTATATATTAAGGGTAATTTAGAAATATCAAAAAGCGACGCCTTATATTTTACACCAAAAGACCCACTTATATAAACTACAAAAGTGCTAACCCCAAAAAGAAAAAAACAAAAACACAGTTCAACTGTCAATATTTGAGTTAAATACTCCAAATCTGAAAGCACTACAATTTGACCAATCTGAATCATATCAGAACCAGTTTATGTGTAGTGCTTTTAGCCCTTACTTAAGTTAGTTTTTGACGTAGGGCTTGAAGGGGCTGGAGCTGGAATGCGAAAACATGTGTTGTGCACTGGAACCAGCCACATTGTGAGTTTGGAAATTCGAATGTGCAGATAAGATGTGCATCAGAGTCTGCGAGTATCTGACGAATGATATCTGAGCCTGGTGCAGAATGGAATGGTATCCAGACGAGCTGTGGCCTTGAGCTTCCCCCGAAGAGCTCCACATTGTTGCCTGCTGAAGGTACTTGGCTGCTTCTTCAGTGATTGGTGGATTTGCGGTTCCCGCCCGAATTCCGGCGACATCGTACAGAGCTAGGCTGAAGTTTGTTTGTGCATTCCAGCCTTTCTTTTTGATTGTCTCAATGTCATATGCCATCGCAGCTTCTTCCTCAGAACCTGTCAGTGGTAGATCACTAATAAGATACATGGCTGCAATTTTTATGACTTCAATTGTATGCACGTATTGGAAAAAACAACCAACTATGGAGTCACTTTTTGGCACAAAGAAGAAAACTACACGTACAGCGAAAAATATTTTAACACACAAAAAATATGCGAAAAGGAAAAAGGAGAAGAATAAACTCACGAACAAATATTTTAACTCACTCTTGTCTTGTTTTGACTGTCGCCACAATTTCCTCACTAAACTCTTGAACCAAGTTTTTGATGAGCTATTCCTCTTCAAAGAAACAAGGCAGCAACAATAGTAAAATCTATAGACTCTCGATTGACTAAAGAGACAAAACGAACTAGTATTTTTTGTTCAAACAACCAACTAGTATTCGGTCAAGAAATTTGAATAAAGAAACTAAAATGCCTAAGCTTCCAAATCAACTTTCAACTTTGATTGGACTTGGACAACCGACATGGAACCAGATTAAGAAAGACTTCTAAGTCAACTTAGCATATGGACTATGATGCCATGCAACACCATTTACCACACACTTTTACAATCATCTAATTTGACCTTCTAAATAGGGATGGCAACGGTATCCGTCCCCGGAGGAGTAATGGTGTAGGGGACGCGGCGGTGCGGTGCAGGGGCAGGAACGGGGACGAGGGGAATTTTTCTCCGCCGTTTTAAATGGAGTGGGGGATGATACCCCCGCCCCATCTCCCGCCCCCCTCCCCTGCTTCAATTTATTAATATAAATAAATATAATCTAATATATTATATAATCTAATAATAATAAACTTAGAATATTTGGTAATTAAACATGACATTTATTTCATTTCTATCCAAATTCCTAATTGATATTTGGCACAAGCGTGTTACATATTTTATGAGTATTCCCAGATGTTATCTATATAATCCAATTGAATTTCTTAATTTTCTTCGTGTTTTATTTCAACACTTTTCTTTTTTCACTTTTCAGCTCCATATTTTATTTATTCTTTAAATTTAGTTTTGATCTATTAAATAAAGGCTTCTAAAAAAAACCAAATTATCACCTGCGGGCACCCGCGGTGGAAGTGGAGTGGGGGTGGGGGAATGGAGGCGGGGGACGGGGCGGGGATGGGAGTGGGGAGAGTTTTTTGGCAACGGGGCGGGAGATGGGGGAGGGATCCCCCCGCCCCCCCGAAACCCACGCCATTGCCATGCGTACTTCTAAATAATGACATCAACACCCAAGCTAATTATAAATAACTAAATTAAGTTGGTTTAATTTTTTAGCACACTTGAAAATTAATTGAACTTTACCAAAAGTCCTGATATATTGTCCACGTTTCTTGCTTGCCTTGTAAGCGAACCACCTGCCAGTTTCAAAGTACCTGTTATTGAACAACTATTGATTAAATGATTATACGTGAATTCCAGAGAAAACGAGAGCAAGACTAACATAGTAATTAGTTGATGCATATAGTAAAAATTATAGTAACAAAAAATCATGTCTATCAGAGGGGAAAATAAAAAGAGAGAAGATTTTAAGATTAAAAAAACAGGACCTAGTGACTCCTCGATATTTGGAGCCTGCACTTGCAAATTGGCTGCTAGACCTGAAAGTAAATGAAAAATAAATTCACAATGTCATGAATCATAACTTGTACTGCAAAGATTTTTCAAGCCAGCACATAATTGAGCAGAAAATGGATGTCTATTAGAGGGGGAGGGTAAAAAGAGAGAAGATTTTAAGAATGAAAAAGGACCTCGTGACTCCATGATATTTGGAGCCTGCCCTTGCAATTCCGCTTCCAGACCTGGAAGTAAATGAAAAATAAATTCACAATGTCATCAATCATAAATATTACTGTGAAGATCTTTCCAAACCAGCACATAGTTGAGCAGAAAAAGGCAGCAGTATAAACTTTTTGGTTTTGTTGGCTTGGCTTGTTTTGGATGAACTTGGCATCTATTAATATCTTAGGCTGTCTATCTAATCTGCAAGGTGGAACCTAAAGTAAGGAAACTCAAAAGAACTAATTTTTATAGGTAACTTTTAGAGGGAACATAGAAATTGGAGCTTCATTTTTTTTATTTCGTTTTGGAATTTTTAGGATCTTTTTTGGGAGAAAGTAAAATCAAAGTACTGAAAAAATTGCCACATAATTGAGTTATTTTGCAGGATAACAAGTAGAATTTCATATATATACCTCAGCCCAACCGCCTTTACACTAGTTCGAACCACGAGCAATTGAGAAAAGAAAACGAAAATAAATGCTAATAAAATAAGCATTTTTTTTTTTTTTGAAGGGATACTGACCTTCTAACATGAGCGATCAACTCCTCATCATCCATGTCTCTCATCATTCTCATTACGTCCCGGTAATGACTTGCCTACAATTTCACAAGTTCACAGTTCAGAAATTACAGCTCTCACTACTATCACTTCATCATGCTTTATGCTTTAGTGATGCTATAAACAAAAGAGGAAAATTCCTTTCTTCTCATGCAATAGATCAGTCTTTCTCATCTTTACGTTTCTTCAATTTACCTAAAGAAGCGGGGGAGAACTATTATACTCCGGGTTCACTAAAATAAGTGGTCAGATAATCTTCTTATATACTACAAGATTTGAAGGAAAGACCTCATTCCAAGAGTTTCTAACCAAGAATTCTGACACAAAGAAGACATACAAAATCAGCACAAAACAAACACATGCAGAAACAATCGAGAAAGAGTTGCATATATAAATATACCGGGAAATTCAATTTTGCTGCTGCTCCGGAGCATTTTAGAGTGACAATGTCATGAACCCTTGCAGCCTCCTCTTCATCAGCATATCTACCTGTTCAAGATAAATCCTAGCCACTATGAGCAACTAGTAATGTTACAACAGGCCTACTATTTAGAAAAAAAAAAAAAAAGGGAAAACAAGAAATGAAACTCAATTAATCCCTTTGCAGTTGGGGACTATAATTTGCTTTCACTCACCCAAATATACTGCAAAAGATAGACAGGAAAAAGGGGTGAAAGTGTTAGTTTATAGGATATATTTCTTGGCTATGCCAACTAACATATAAATAAAACCTCTAATATATTCTTCTTGTAACTGCATATTAGTAACAAGTCTCAGAAGTTACCTGAGTGACCTCTCGTTTTAACATAGGCATAGGAGGTATACAGATGGTCGTCTTTGGCCCTGCATTTTGGATTTCAAAGTGTTAATAATGTCATCAAAATTTATCCTAAATCCATTTTTTTCACGTACATTTTTGTCTCAAGTTAAAAAAAAAATTTATGGATCTAGGATAAATCCATAGCTATTGTTCGTAATTATCAGCTAGAATGAAAGATAATATATATGGCACTAACTTGTTCACTCCACTATAAGCTGAAGTAGATCCCCTGACCAATGATGGTTTTGAACTTTCTCCCTGAGTTGATGCAACTATGGGGGCAATATTCTTCACTGAATTCTCAGCAGCAGCAGATTGATTAGCCAAAGGGCTCCCATTAGCAGTTGAACTTGAAGCCATGATCCTAATTCATTTGGACAACATTGTTCAAAATGTCAAAATAAAAGCATATATCTTTACCATAGTGGAATATCGGATATATGCTTTGAAGAAATTGGAACTGTTCATACTATTGATATAGAGTCTAGCTTCACTAGTTACTATTATTTCATTGTTGAACAGTAAATGTTTGTTAACTAATGTATGGTACATAAGAAAAGTACTAAGTTGTGTTACTAAATAAAAGGTAATTAATTAATTTCTATTTTTTCATAAAGACCTTAATAAGATGCATTGATTCTTGGCGAACAATATGAGTTACAATGACCGGTAATGATTTTGAAAGATTACAAGAAGTGAAGATATGTCAAGGTGCTCTTCACAGAAATTAATTAAGTTCAACTGCATCTACTGGAAAAAAAGGTAGAGATAAATCAATGGGAAAATTAAAGTATCAAGAACTGCATTTTCTAGATTTCAAGGACTTAAGTAAAAAAAATAAATAATTATCTATGATGCTTAAGTTTTCAGAATTCAGTAACAGCAATAAATTTTGTAATTTATAAATTATAAAAAAAATTTCAAAAAAGGGTGCGTGTGAATACAAACAAATAAAAGGATTTTGAGCATGTAACAAAGTCACGGTAATTTAGCCCTTTGCACTCAATCTATGTTGGAGAAACAACAAACTAAAGTTTAGTTTTCACGTTAAAAAGGAAAAAAAAGAACAAAAATCTTTAAGAGAGGGAAGTAAATAACAGTTGTGAATCAACAAAACTTTCTTCAAAGGAATCAAGATAGTAAAACTCGAATGTCTCACAAAGTTTACATCACTGGGTTGGAATATCTAGATCCAAAACCTTTTTCTTTCAAATTTTTTTTTTCAAAATAATCAATTACAAATGAGATATTTTGCCTCTAAATTACAAAATTTTCTTACCAATATACTCCTAGGGTGTTAGAGAGATAAACCAGACGTAGGCAAATTTGCAGAAAAGTTTGGACCTGTAAAACAAGATAAACAATGAAATGAATCAAATGAAATTGGAGATGCCTCTATAATGAAAGTTCCCAAGATATGATAAGAAACTAATTCAATCATGATTCCAAAATAATTAATAGGCCATCGAAGGTAAGTAAACCTGCAAAAAATTTTAGACTGAACACTCACAATTTTTGAAGTATTAATGCTTGAAATAAAAAAATAGAAAATCTATCATACCTTAGATTTTGCAACAGTTAATACTGTGCAATAAGTTGTCTATCTTCCTCCTTTAAACTAAAAACTCCTGAAAGATTTAAGCTAATAACTTCAAGGAGTGTTTGTAAATTGTCAATATCTATAGTTTGTTATAAATTCAATAGCATCGCATTAAATGTAAATAATGACAGTTAGCTTATTTGGAAAAGAATTAATTACTTTACTTAGAAGCAGAAAAAGTAAATATGCTGACATTTGTGTGGTATAGAAAATAGATGAAGCTTAATACTTTTCAAGAGCACCATTGCGCCTGTTTCTGAAGAAAATTGTAATGCGATCCCTCAAAATTTTTGTTTCAAAATTTGAACTACTAGGATTCAAGTTATGATGGAAATAGGCACTACCACTGATTTCCAGGAAGAAGTTTGGCTCTAACTACAGCCAAGTATTTACAACCTATTAAAACCAAACTAAGCCACTTGTTATTTACGTACCAAGCATAAAACATTTGACAAGGATTTTCTCAAACAAAAAAAAGGGAAGAAATTGAAAAGAATTGGTTGAAGGGATTTTGATTTCATCTCTTTGATATAAAATAAGCAAATATGCATTCCTTCTAAAACTCATGTCAATTTGCAAGACCGGCTCGTTCTAATACTTGTGTTTGGATTGCATTTTCCATGATTTTTCATGGAAAAATTACTGTAGCGATTTGATGTATGTGAGGGAAAAAGGTAATAGGGAAATGTGATCACGGAAAACGGCGTAATTTTCTGACGGAAAATTGCAATCCAAACAAGACTAAGAATATATATACTTCTAAGATAGGATGTGTGAGCATGATTTTGATGTTTATAACCTTTTGTTCACTTCCTGCTACTGGTTTTTTGTTTGTATATCCAAACCTGACATTTACTTGTGTGATTTTCTGTTTCCAATTTTTACGCCCTTTTCCAAAATTCTTTTTGCTGGTTTTTTGTTTGTTCTTCGTAAAAGTTTACATTTACCTGTGTTTTTTTCTGTTTCTTTTTTTTTAATTTATTATGTAATCCTAAAAAACTTCAGGCACTCCATCCTTTCTTTTGCTTTAAAAAGGAGGATAGATTCCCCCAAACTTTTCTTGGAATAATCTACCTATCTAAACCTATAAATAAACTTTTTTATACCCTATTTGGATTTTGCAATGTAAATGTGTCATTTTAGGTCAACATTACGCCTACGCCATCATAGTCCCAAAAAACATCAATTTAAAGGGTAGCTTCAGAAAAAGAATACTAAATACAGGAGTTTCTGTTAACAATACCTAGGTACGTAATGGCTCTTACATCCCATAAAAGGGTGCTTTTTGATACAGTACTTCATGAATCCAAATCAGATCTCTTACTCCTAAAATTCCTTAAAAGCTCCAACAACTCATAAGATTTCGAGGGCCAAAAGGGAGATTATCTTTTGTTGCTAAAGCTTCTTGGCACCAAAATTCGGCATGGACTTTTTGTAATCAATAAATCTGAAATTAATCAAACTTCCTACAATTTCTTGCCACCCGAGCTTGAAGACCGAAGTGAAATGTAGAAGACATTTCGGTATGAATAGGTGCATCTGCGGAACTTTCTTTTTTTTGGGGGAGGGGGGGAGGGGGTGTGTGTTGCCCAGCTAATCCAGAAAAGAAAAAGAAAATTATAAGATTCTTTTGATGTAATTAGCATTTAGAATTAGGAAATTTCTATGGTTTTAGTTCCCTCGTACCCACTTTTTTTTTTTTTGATAAAATCCCCCCAAACCTGGTGACATGCATAAAATGGTAATCCAATAATAGTGGCCAGGTCCAAATTATAAATTACTAGTGTTCAAGGCACACTAGATGTATGTGCAACTATTAAAAAAATATTTAAAATTTTTTGCAATGATATTTGTTGAAATCAATTTTTATAAGAGTTGGTTTTATAATTTTTTTTAATGCATACTAGAAAATTTACATTCACAAAAATAAGATTTGCAAATGTGCTATTATTTGGCAGTGGATAATTATGAAGAAAGAGGTAGAAGAAGATAAAGTAGTGGATAGCTACATATGAAGGTTAATTTAGAAAGATCATAAAGTGACAACTTATAATTTACACCAAAAGATCCCTCCCCCTTTTATATATAGTATTAGAGCTTTTAGCACACCCTAGATGTGTGCTTATTTTAAGGAAATCATTAAGTTACACATCATGGTAGACATATATGTATTTATTTGAAAAATCTATAATTACTACTTTAGAGGAAATTATTGTATTTAAAATCATGGTAGAGAAAAAAGTGGTGATCTGAAGGAGTTATGTGAGGAAGTTGTAATTAGATCTCAACGGAATAATTATTTACTGGTTGTGGGGATTTTTTTTATAGAATTTATTGGAACCAATTTGCCCTTAGATTAGAAATTTCAAAAAATGACACTACGCAGTATTACTCTCCTTTATATATTATATAGACAAGATGATATGAATATAATGGTAGTACAATGTAGTGCCCAGGACCAAATACAATGATTTATCAAAGAGAAGAAAGTTGGTAAACTATCCTCTCATTGATAGATGGCTCCATGTCTATGCCGTGTGTTTGTGTACAATGAAACTCATTAAGACTCCACAGTAAAACAAAT